TTCGTTTATTCAATCAAATTTATTGCAACAAGAGTGGCGAAAATCGCCCAATATTTCATGTAGGTGTTGACTGAATAATCGTTCACTGCGTTGCTCTATAATTAATAGGGTTATTAATAGTAATTTTTACACATTAATAACTATAATAGTTGCTAGAGTTGCCAGATACAATAACCAAACAAGTTGATATTTAGAAAAAGTAATTGTTAACAACGGTCAAACCATTTATCTCTGAAGCAGCTGTAGTTGTGGTCCAAACACTTATCGGGTGTTTTTCGCGACCCATTGGTTGTTAACTTAACTAGGCTTATCGGTTATTGTTAGCTACGGATATATTTTGAAACGTTAGAAGCATGATCAATTCTCATTTTTCCTTTTGCTTACTCGTCTGAGAGGACGTCGGCACATGGTGCCCTGATGATTTAAAAATTTCATTACTTATATTGGCTCGGTTGCACAAACTCTCTCTCGACATTTCTGAGTCAGGAAAAGGGGAAGGAGCTATTGTTAACTGTTGGCTCAACTTTTCCGCTTTTCTTTACATATTGAAAAGTAGCAACATTTGTCCGAATTACAAAAATTAGATTTTTACGAATGGTATAAAAATTCTATGGTGTTAAACGGTAGCTTGGCAACTAATGTATTAAAAACGAGCAAAAGACTAATAATGTCGCTTTGTTAGGTTTACAGTAGTTGACATTATTACTCATATTGTGGTTGTTTATCAACGATACATTAACTCTATCTTAGTCTACCTATCTAAGTTCTCATTTACTGGCTCAACTGTTCCTAGCTAACCTTTTGCATCTGTTAATTCTTTAAGGTTATTTTGTTATTTTATGCTTTGAGAAGTATTTCATTTGATTTCTTTTTTGGTCAGCATGGGCCAGCGTGCATGTATGTGAGTTATGCATGGTCGTAGTACCTTAACTACGAGAAATCTTGTAGGTGATTCACCTCTGTTCAGATGCACATTGGCCCCTGCGTTTGGTGTTGTAAAATCGGCACGAAAAGTTTTAAAAAAAGGGGAAAAACAAATTACTGGGGATACACTGGTGTTACACCCTCCCTCCTAAGACTAGAACTAGAGCTTTTGGAGTAAGCAAAGAAGTCTAGGAACAGCTCGCTGAGTCTTAATAACGTATTTACCTAGTTAACAATATGATAAATCTAATCTCTGTTTGAAAGTTAGTAATTTTTATTTATCTATGACTTATATCTATTCATTGGCCCGCATTTGCTCAGGGTGCCTCGACGTATAAAGAAAACGATAAGAGACTCTGTGGTGACAGGAAAACAGTAATTTAAAACCTTCACCAGGACCAATACCACAACTAAGTTTAGTACCGCTTTTACTTGCTATGAAGAAAAAATTGATTTTTTTCCAAACATATAGGGTTGGGCTTCTCCCTGTCACCCCTCTTTCAAAACTGGAACTAGGGCTTTTGACAAAATGGTCTAGAAGTAGTTCGCTGAGTACCTCTTTACAGATTTGGAAGTATTACATTTGGTTTGGTGGTACGCCCTCGTGGCTTATTATGAAATGGCGTAAAGTGGGTCTTCTTTTGGGATAGTATCATGGATGTAGCGTTTCCAGGCGTATCGGTTATGAACAAAGGTTGTTGTGTTTTTACCCGTACTAATTTTTTTAAGTTAACACTCTTAACACTGCTGGATACGTCTTTGGATGTCGTTTTTTAATCCTTGCCAGTAATACTCCTTCCGTATTCGTCCGAATGTCTTGGACACACCTTGATGGCCTCCGATAGGGGATTTGTGCGCTTCATAAAATATTCCATCCCTATCGTTGTTGTCTGCATATGCTAAAGTATTTTTACAAATTATAAATTTGATATCGCTATCCGAGAACGTATCTTTTAATAAGTTGACCACTATTGACCGATGCAAGTTGCATAAGGTCTGGCTTTTGTCTATACTGACTGTGCTTATATGTTTTTCAGCCAATTTGGTCTTAAGTTTTTCGTACAGTGTTTCTAGTCTATTGTAAATTATCAACTAAGATTCTTCCTTCTCTTCCATGAGGCAGAGCGTGATCTGATATCTCTTGTTAGTCAATTTTTTCATGGTGATGCTTCCTAACTCTGAGTTGGCTGGATGTGTCCGAGAAGTACACTCCATTATCATGTCTGTACTCAAACAGTTCTTTTGTTTCCACGAAACGGCCTTGTTGTGGGCTAACGTTCGGTTCCTAATCCAAGTCGGGACTCCCGTTCTTCGAAGACGTTTCGTCCCCAGGGCATGAGTGATCGTTAGCTTCATCTTCTGACTGAGCGTCGTCACTAGATGAAGGATCGCTCAAGTTGAGTTTTAAAAGGGTTGGGACCTTTTTGGAATGCCCTCGTTTTTTCTTAACCTTTCCTTGCTCCAATGTTTGTTGATCCGAGGCTTTTACCTGTTCAATATTGGGTTTTTCGGCATTTGCGGTTTTTCTAAGGACTTGGCTGCAGATTTTATTCTTGTCAGGTAGTATTGGTGACTTATAGTCCCGTTGAGCCACTTGTCGTCTACTCACAACGTTAACTTGAGCTGGTGGCACTGGGTTCCTTGATAATGCGTCAGCGGGTGCAATTAGCTGACCAGGGCGGTAGATTATTTCGTAGTCATATTCTGAAAGCCTAAGCCTCCATTTTTGCACTCTTGTATTGAGATCTGCTATTTGGAACCATACTTAGGGATGATAATCTGTTATTATCGTGAATTTGCGGCAGTATAAATAGGGGCAAACGGTTTGCACTGAATGTAATACTGCCAGAGCTTCTTTCTCATAGGTGTCGTACTGGAGCTCCAGGCCTCGTAAAATACGTAAGGTATAGGTGATTGGTCGGTCACTGCCAAGTTTTCCTTGAGAACTGATACCGCTTATAGCGTAACCAAAAGCGTCACATGTTATTTTAAACGGCTGATCTAAGTCTGGAAATCGCAAAAGGGGGGCCGAGCACAAAGCTTTCTTGAGTTCTTGGAAAGCATTCTCTTCTTCACTCTTCCAATGAAAGCTTTCGTTGCCTTGAAAGGGCTTGCTCAGTGGCTTGGCTTTCCTCGCAAAATCTTGAATAAAGCGTCTGTAGTATCCTGCAAACCCAAAAAATTGTCTTACATTCTTAAAATTATTTTGTATAGGGTAAAATTTTACTGCTTCTAATTTTTGGGGGTCTGGGTTTAATCTTTTTTCACTTAATATATGGCCTCAGTATACTCCTTCCTTTTGCATTAATTTGCATTTGCTGAATTCTAATTTCCAGTTGACTTCATATAGTCTTTTCATTACTAGATGGAAGAGCCGTTCGTAGTCTTCCAGAGTTTTCGCGTAAATAAATATGTCGTCCATTTATACAAATATACCCTTGCCAATTAATTCATCGAGGGCTCTTAACATAGCGTCGTGGTATTTTACTGCTGCATTTCGTAAGCCAAAAGGATTTCGGACCAACTCGTAATGGACGTTGGAAGTCGAGAACGCAGTTTTGTGGGCATTTTCGGGGTGCAGCAGGATTTGGTGAAAACCTGACTTACAATCGATTACCGTATAATATTTTAGATCCCCAAATCGGTCTAATATATCTGTTATATTGCAAAGAGGTAAATTCATCGCTAAAGTTTTCTTACTAAGTGGTCTCAAATCAAGGACTACTTTCATTTTAGGGGCGCGATCGGTGCTCTTTTTAGGTACGATCCATAGGGCTGTACTATAACCTGATCGATGTCGTCGCACTATGCCATTTTCTAGTCATTTTTATACTTGACGCTCTACTTCTGCTTTTAATGAGTAAGGTAGCCTGTATTGCTTAGTAACCACTGTTATGTTATCAACCATAGGTATGCGGTGAGTTGCAATGTTGGTAGTCACTAGTGTATCTCCTTCAAGGGGAAAATTTCTGTGGTGCTGCTCTATCAATCTTCTAGCTTGAGCCATCTCATCGGCTTAGAGCAATGTTAAATCTATAAGCATTTCTAGTTGTTTACCCTGGGAATGATAATTATTGATGTTACTGTTGGTATTTTGGTTACCACTGGCGTTAATAGTGGTTTTTTAAAAAAGTTAAATAATATTTTCGCTGTCACTGATATTTGAGATATCTAATTCGTCATACAGTTCATTAGTTGACTTAAGGAATATTTTTCTTTTCCCGAAGCTGCAAAATTCATCACCTAAGGTTTCACAACTAAGGAAGCCATCATTTTCCTCGTGGTCAGGTGTCGCATCATTTACGATTGTTTCTCTGCGTTTTTTCGTATCTTATACTAAGGGGGACTCTATCGCTCTGTAAGGTCAGTAGCTTGTTACTCAAATGAATCTTAACCTCATTTCGGGTAAAGAACTCAGCTCCTAGGACTCCTTCGAAGGGTAGTTTTGAGTCGTTTGGGATAACTTTGAATGTAGTTTTAAAAGCTCCAAGGCCGATGACGGTTCTTCCAAATGTTTTCATTTCTTTAGTTTAAAACCCACTAATCATTCTCTTGTCATTCACATTAATCTGATATGCTTTAAGAGATTGACTGTCTCTAATTATACTGACTTCTGAACCGGTATCTATCAGAAGCTGTCTGGTTGGTTTCTGTATTTTAAAATATCAAAAGTTCTCAAATGACTCATCAATGTTGGAGCAGTAAGTTTCACGTGGGCTTATATCTAGATTTCGTTTAAATTTTATGACACGACCAGGGAATTTTAATAGTTAGTGCTCGAAGCTCATTTCGCACTTTGTGTCTAAAAGAAAACGTATTCCTAGTATGCCGTCGTAAGGTATATTAAATGGCTCCTCTACGACACAAAATGAAACCGCGAATCGATCATTAGACTTATGGGCTGGGTACCTGCCATAAAATCTAAACAGGGCTTATACTTTGGCTTGGGGTTTAGCTTGAGAGCATTAATTTTTGCAGAATCTGACTCGTATCCTCTGAGTGCGTTAATGCTTTGGGGGCGCTTAGAGCCGCACTAATTACTTGCACGCCAGTGAGGTTTCTCTATTGCGCTCGTTTCATTCGTGCTTTTTACATTCTAGTATCGTATGTCCACGGTTTAAACAGTAGGCACAAGTTTTACAATCTGAAGCGACGTGTCCTTTGTTGCGGCATTGCGTGCCACGTGGTTGGGCGTTAGATGGTGGCTGGCGCTGTTGGCAGTTGAGAGCTATGTGTCCTGCTAAGTTGCATATTTGGCAGACTACTTTATGTATTGGACAATTATTTGTCGTATGGTCCTGTCCTTTACAAATAGAGCAAGCTATTGGATTTTCACTCATTTTTATGCATCTCAAGGCGACGTGACCCATGGTGTTACATAACTGGCATGTGACCGGTAGTGCACCAGCTCCTTCCATATTTATTTGCCCTAAGTATTCTGCATTCCTGAGAACTAATAGGGGCTTCTTTTGGCTGCTGCTCGAAAGGGGTGGTATTACTACGTAATGTTGTGGCGGGTGGTTTGCATTTGTCTGCAGTTTGCCCTTTTTGCTTCCATCACTGGCAAGTGGTTTGAGACTCACAGTCGGCATCCATGTGATTATTAGATATGCATAATCAGTAGTATAATGCATAGTGCCGTTTCTCCGGTTGTGACGTTACCTTTACTTGGCCTCTAAGTGCTTGCCTCGTTTTTAGCGTTTTTCTACCTTCATGGCTATTTTAATCATCGTCGCTCGAACAAAATGTTTAGCAGAATACAGTCCTCTGCTGCCCTATCGACTGCGTCTATGTGACGTCGCCGACTGATTTTTTACATTTAATGGATATAGGGAAAGCCAAGATAATTATGGGCTACTTAATAAAACTGAGGGGTCACGTTAAGATCAAAATTAGCTTTAACTAGGGCTGATACACAAATTTACAATGAACTAATTAGACACTAAGAAAGACACTTAATTTAATGCGCATTTCTAGAAAGAATTAAACTTACTCGACTTAAATTTTATGCAATTCACTAACTTTATCGTGTGACGGAGGAAGGGATGACATTAGGTAAATAAAAAAAAGCTGTTTATGAGCCACAACGAAGATATATTTGTGACTTAAAGGAGGAAACTCCCAAGAAAAAACCCCCTGGACGAACGAACAACCGATAAAAACGAATATGAAAATGTAAGATACAAACAACTTCCTGGTATGAACAAAACTCTGTGTGTGTGTATGTGTGTGAAGTATGTGTGAAAGATGTGTGTAGTGCGCATCCGCACTGTTCTCGTTTTCGATCCCCAATGACATGGTTCCACTGACGCGGATTTTCGCCGTGTTTGCTCGCAGCACGTTGACAAGAAAGGAACGGACACTGAGGATAATGAATAAGAGATATGAACGCGTAGTATTAAACACGTAAGCCCGGTATGCAAACTTAAATAAAAACTTGTGACGTGGTAGCTAAAGCTATCACGTCACTGTATACCTATATTTCGGGGCAAGTCATCGGCGGCTACCGAGTCCTAGAATAACATATAGATTTTCTATATGTACATCAGTAACAAATTACTTAATGTGTGTTCTCGGTGCCGCGGACTACGAGCCAGAGGAGAGAGAAGGACCGAATATCATGAAAGAGATTGAATGTGTGGGATGTATGATTGGGTGAGCATGTGTGTAAGATAGAGAAGAAGAAGAGGGAGCGCCAGGCTGTTGCATCGATTCCCGAGTTTTGGAAACCTCCAACAATTTATCGATTTTTAGGCGTGTTGGAGATTTTTCATATGCCCGGGAGGGGCGCGCGCGTCGGTCTAAGGCAGTAACGCAGTAGTAGTCGAGTCGTAGCAGAAGGCAGTATAAGAGAGAGCCTGGTACGAGCAAGAAGATAGGGAGCACAAGGTAGAGAGTAGAGTACAGGGATAGAAAAGAGAGACAGATGAGAAGAAAGAAAATGAGGAGTGGAGATTAAGGAAAGAAGATCACGAGCAGGTTAAGATCAGGGATAGAAACAACCGGGTAGAATTCAAGGGAGAGCAAAGCAGTGGCAGAAAGAAGCGTCCGAGGGCTGACCGTGCCGCCAAGTCGACGTAGCGAGCAAGACGAACCACAGGTAGCACCGTGTGACCGCGAGGACAGAGAGAAGGTAATTGTACTGGGAACAGTACACGAGGTGTTAGTTTGAGGTAAAGTGCTGGGGATGGTCCAAGCGAGTGAACGTAAACGTGTGCGGGGGTTTATATAGAGATAGGAAAGATTGAATTGAGCGGAAGGTATGCTTGAGGTGGTGTCCGTATGTGTGTGTGTGTGTAACCAAGGCACCGGCCACCAACAGTCAAGCCAGGGAAGAGTTTGGCAGAGAGGACGACTGGAGGTGACAGCATGAAGATATCTACCTCGAGAAAAATGTGCCAAAATAAATATATATGTAGAGAGAGAGCGAGAGAGAGAGAGAGAGAGAGAGAGAAACGTGATGTTGTGGAGAGTGTGTATTGAGGCGAATAAATTGCGCAAGAGCGCTGTGAAAATTTATATCCGCAAGTGTTTATTGAGAAGTAGTGCCCCCATTTTCCCCCTTCTATTTTCCTTTCAGGAGTGTTTGGTGTTCCCGAGCCAGACACCTGTGGCAGACCTTCCGGAGAAGAGATATCCAGAGTGTAGGGACATGGTGAAAAACTTAGTGAGAGTTTTGTGAGGGGATCCGGGACGGCTGTTTATCGGCTAGAAAAATCCTCGTCACAAATTCGCTTTGAACAACGAAACAAAGAAATCCGAGAAAACCAGCAAGTACTCGAGAGTGCAGTGAAAACTGCAAGCCGTCCAATATAAACTGTAGTATTGGAATGACCGCATCCCCGCCACATCTTCTTAATTTTCACGTCTCGGCCGTCGATGGCGCCAACCCCTCTCCCCTCAATTTGTTTTGCGTCTCTTGAATGACGCCCACCAATAAGCGCGACGTTTCAGGACCATAGTGTGAAACAATACCGACTGACTATGAATTAACACGAGCATGAAACAAATCCTTTGCCGGGCATTCGGCGTGCTGCGATACATGTCCGTGCGGTGAGGCTTCCTTCTCCGCTACTCACGTGGCGGCCCGTACGTTTCAGTCGTTTTCGACTTAACACATATGGTTCAAGCTTTCGTCTTCTATAGTATTTAATTTGACTTCAATTTCTGGGTTAAGTCCATTCTTGAAGCACTCTGTTGCCCCAGACTGTAAGGATGCGATGAATGAGGGTGGGACTACTTCCTCGTCTTTTAACCTTGTTACTTCTAGTATTTGTTGCTGTACATCGCATATTCTATCGCCGTAGTTAAGTACTGTTTTTTCTGGTTTTTGAAATTTACTACCCATCTCACCAAGGAGTTGATGTATAGTTTTGGTGGGGGCATAGATAGCTTTAATATGATTTTTTAGCTCTTTGATGTTTCCACAGGTTACTCTACGTGAGGCTATTTGTGCTTCTCCCATTAATTTATACCTAGTTAGTTTAGTAAGATTGACGTCGTCTGCTGCGTTTACCATATTCTTAGCTTCGTCGCAGCTTTCCAAAAAAACATACTTAAGGGTATATTGTTACCACTAAACTTTGGGATTACCCTCAGGGCGTTCTTTAAAGCAATTGCCTGCGCCATGGTTGTTGGTTCGGGTGGGTTATGCTGTGGGGAAATTTCTGTACCATCTTGTTGTGGGTCGCTTGCTCTAGGGGTAGTACTACCGCTGGGTGTTGTAGATGGTAGTATGATTATGCCTTTTTGCGGGCTTGTTTTCTTTTAAGCAGTATTTATAAAGTTCAAAGTGTCAGCTGCAGCTGTACCCTCAAATTCGGTGATGTTGTTCAAGGGTGTCTCCTTAAAAAAGTGTTCTGCCAAATTCTCTTCCACGTTCTCGACAGCTTTTCTTTGGTTTTCTTCAGTTTTTGTAGGTGTCCTTGGGAGATCCCGTCATGACAAAAAAGGGTTAGATAATTCTGATTGTGTGCTTGGACCTTGTAGAGTTGCGTGCCTGTTGATTTTCTTACGTAACTCGTTATTAGACTGGGCCTGTTGGCGAGTGATGCGCCTATTGTTCATGGGGTGGACAAAGCGTATTATCTAATCACGCACATTAAGGGTTGCAAATTGTGATGCTAATTCATCAATATTAACCTTATTCTTATTGCAGACATGCTCGATAACTGTGTGCAAGGTAGAGATATAACTTTGAAGGTTATGGACTTGTTCATATAGTAAAGCAACTGTCGCCCAGTGATCCTCGTCATTAGCTCTGAAACGTTAAGTCTATCGTTGATCCTAAAGAACGTTACGGTGTGTTGACGAAGGGTAGTTAAATTATGCCGCGTTTTGGCTTTAGCTTGCTCTATGTGTAATTCCACCTCGTGGATGTCATCCACTTTGAGCATGGTTACACTTGGGGCATTAGAGCGTTTTACTGTTTGTTTTGCCAATGCAGTTTCAGCGCCTGATCACATTCTCTGAGTGCTTGGGTAGAAATCTGTTCTTTGACACGGAAAATATAGCATTCATCTAATTGCTTCTCATATTCTTACCGAGTCTGCGAAAAGGGGTTCAACAGTATTACTTCTGGTACGTCAAGTATATCTTAAACGGTTTGTTCCAACTAAAGATGATACCCGCGGGATTTTATGAACGTAAGTGAACTGGGGAATAGATGGCGTCACCCTCAACTGTACGCTACTGCTCTCAACCTTCTTTCAAAAACCTTGGTAATGGCGCCAAAGGTTACCAGTGTAATGCAGCTACAATCAAGTTCGAAGTATCGTATCACTTAGCCTTGCTAATCAATAAATTGCACTGTCTTATTGGATTCCCTATACCAGAATTATACTTTGATACTTTTACCTTGTATATTTAGCGCTCGTCAGAATTGACCGGCTGATGAGATATGCAAGTTTAATACTGCTTTTTTAAATTCACTAAATTTTGAGGCTCCATGTTTTGGCATAGCGTGGGCTTAGGTTTTTGTTAAAAAACAAATAAATGTTGTTCAATTTTCAGTCAAGAATAAAACAGTTTATTCTTTGAAATGACGTTCTGGTTCACTTATTCGTCATCGCTTTAGTTATCGTTTACTCTAATCTGATCTATAAGGGTCACCATGATCACCAAGATCCCATAGGGCGTCTATTAGTTGCCATTCTTGTTGAAATAGTGCGTTTATTTCTTTCCCCAAGGTTTTTAGGCGATTGCAAAATTCTGCTTTTTATTCCCTAACTTGTTAAACGGTGGCTACCATGCCTGCTGAGACTCGTAGGTGAATCCCAAAATTCTGTGGGACTGCTGCTCTTTGTGGTGCAGCTGCTTGCTCTGCTGCCACAGGTAGGGCATCAGCTTCCATCTGACTTGCTTCTTGTTTTTGAGTTTGGCAAACCCGCCGGAGTTCCTGGTGGCCTCCTTCTTTTAAGATTCTGTGTTTCCAGCTTCGCGCTTTCACTATGAAAACAAAGGCGTTGTGTGCTCAGGTTAAGTATTTTCTTTTATCTAAATATATATATCGGACGTTCCACGTCACCTGGGACTTAAATTGTTCGTATGATTTTAGGACTTTTTCTGCGAGTTATCAAGTCTTAAAAAAAAACAAAAATAGCGAATCCAAAATACTATCGTATACTATAATATA